TTCGATAAACCCTCGCACTCGCGCCCTCATGATCGACTCGACAAGAACTCGATGGAGGGGGGAGTCAACTGCAAGATGCCCGCAGGCATGCGCCGCCCCAGGGGGCGGCCAAAGGCCACTACGTGACTTGATGTGCAGGTCTTGATCACGAGTTAGGGCGACGCGCGCGGCCATAGAGGGGCGCGCGACGCACTTAGGTCACGCAGCATGGTCGAAGGCCGCCCCCAATAGATATTACCGTGGGAGCGCGAGATCCAGAGGCTGATCACGCTGTGCGCCAGAGCAGCGCGCAACCATGACTACCACGTGTTGCTGAGCCAAGAAACTCGACAACTTAGGCGCAAGAGCAGCGCATCCGCCGAAACTGCTAGCAGCTAGCAAGTCAACTTTAGAATTTAAAAGGCTTGCTCGAACCAGGGCTGTTCGGCACCATCGTTCGATCTGCACCACCACGGTCTTACCGGGAGGGCACAACTCACGCAAGTTTTTCGCCATTGTCAACAGAACGTCAACAAAAAAAAAAAAAAAAAAAACATATTGCACGCACGCGATTCCACGATATTCCATTGCTGGCCTCGTCGAGGCCGCAAATCTTGGTGCATTCTCGGCGGTGCCGACCCGAAACCAGGCGCCACCAGAATGTCACCGGACCGTCACCGCCAACGCAGGTGTCAACGGCGAGGTGCCACCGGTCCGCGGGCGCGCGTTTCGCTTGATACATCCTCTCAACATCGCAGGTTTCACCGGACCTTCAACGCAGATGTCACCAGTCCAGGTTTCACCGGAGCGTCGCCGGTCGGTTCGCGGCGTGCCCAGGGAAAATCGCGTGGATTTCATTGAGCCGCAAGGTTTTTAAATGAAATTGTCAATTGAATCTCGAACTGTGGCTAGCCTGAGCGCCGCGAGAACTCGAATCGCGCGCGCCCGCGAGAAACGTTGGCCATGCAGCCGATAGAACCGAAGCTGGCCAACAATGTCGAGCGCGCAACTCACTCTCTGTCGGGCGGCGTGCTTTTTCTCCAGAATCAAATGGTCACGGGCGGGATCGTCGACGGGTTTTGGCAAAACCAATCCAGCAAAGAATAGGGCCTTGATGGATTTTTAATCGTGGAGCTTTTTCGCCTCGGCCAGCGGCTTCGACGCCAAGTCGCTCAGCCCCTTGGTTGCGTGGACGGTCGCAACGAGCGAGTCCATGGCCTGCTGGCCCAGACAAGAAACCCGACGAGCGATGGGGCGGAGGAGGAGGAGATGGAATAAGAAGAACAACGGCAGAAGCAATGAGATGAGGAGGACAACGTCGGTTCATGAAGCGAGGAGAGAAGAGAGAGGAAGGAGGAGGTTGGGGGGGGAGTTGGAGGCAAGAAGGGGAGAGGACGAAGGAAGATGAGGTCGGATGAGGAGTTTGACGAGGAGTTGGAAGGATGGAAAGGGAGAGGAGGAGGAGGAAGAGGAACAGGAGGAAGTGCCCGAATAGCCTGCGTCACCAGCTGGCAACGGGACAGTTCTTTGGTCATGAATTCCCAGGCGTTGTCCTTCTCGACGCTGCTCAAGATGGCATGTGCCTTCCAAAGAACCAAGCCGTACTTGGCGAGGCGACTGTCGCGTCCTTGGCCAGCGCCTGGGCGCCCGAGTCAGCGTTCGTGGCCGCCCATCCGAGGCTTCTTACCACCAGCGCAAATTCCCGTTTGCTCGGCTCCTCTCTTGCCCGTGCCCTCCTTGTCAGCGCCCTCCTTTTTGCCGGCGTCCTCCTTGCCAGCGCCTTCCTTTGCAGGCCCCTCGGGCTTTGCCGCCGCTACGCCGCCCGCGGCCGCTGCAGCCGCTGCACCGCTCGCGGCCGCAGCAACCGCTGCACCGCTCATGGCGGCCTGGCCAACCGCTGCACCGCTCGCGGCTGCCTGGCCAGCTGCTGCCGCGCCGAGCGTTGTAGGCTGCGGCCCATTGACCTCGGCCTCGACCACGCTCGAGAACCAATCCTCGGTCATCCGCCACTCCTCCTGGAACTCCTCGGCGAACTCCTCGATGACGCACATCGCTCGCAAGCTTTCGGTCCACCCGTCAAATCTCACGAAACGTGGGCCCATCGCAATGTATTTAGTGAAAACGCGAACTGCGCTCATCCATTCACTTTCTCCTCCGCCTTGCTTTCCGAGGGTTCCTGGCCGGCGGGGGCACCTGCCCTTTCTAGGAAAGGTCTTCCTGGCGATGGCGACCTCCACTGTGGACTTGCGGCAGGCGGCGCGTTACGGAAACCGTTCAGTTGCTACAGAAACCGTTATTTGGATACCGAATCCATTTATTTTTGTTCTTCCGCTTTCTTTTTCTCTTCCCCTTCCTCTTCCTCCTTCTTCCTTCTATGTTTGTTAATCCTCCTCTCAGCCTCCTCCTCATCCACCCCTTCCCTTCTCCCCCTTCCTCTTCCTTTCCCTTCCTCTTCCCGCTTTCCTTTTCCATTCCCTTTCTAAATTTCTGGGAATTGTGGGAGGCGTTTCCAGAAACGCTGTTCGGCAGCGGCCGCAGCCGCCAT